CTCCAAACGTTTTGTTCCAGTATTTATTAATCCAGTGGAATAATTAAGTATTTAATTATTTAAGTAACGACAATTTGGAAATTAATAGAATTAAGTTGAATGTAAGTATGTGGGTGTATGTATTTAATAATAAATAAAACCAGCAACACTAAAATATAAATGATTATTGCCTCCATTAGCACTGTCTAACCTTACTGCGGTAATTAATGATAAAAAGATTCCCCACCAATGATATAGACCATTGTTAATTTAAAACCTAACGAAAATGCAAATACGTGACAGAGTAAATTAGTAACACCGTGGTTTCAGTATTTTACATAATTGTTCTAGAATAAGATAACAACAAAAAAAGTGGCGACTTAAATGAAAAAAAAAAAAGAACGTAATGATGTTTTTGTCCCGAAGGAAGAAGGAGAGAGCCTTGCTTTAAATGAAATTTATGAAGACAAATAGGAGGGGAGTATAGTGCAGTTAATTTCATTCGATGAAAAAGTAGTTGTGACGTCAGCCCCCTCCCTATTTGACTAATGGCGGCCATAAATCATGCTCGGACGTAACATTATTAAGGAGGCTCCTTAATTCAGGATGAAAGGAGCTATTTTTATTCAGGAGCTCCTCAAAGGGACTAATTTATCTCCCGGCTAAATCACCCGCGCCCTGTCCCGGCTTTTTTCACCTCAATTTGTTTTTTGAGGGGGGAGGGCGGGTTTATTTTCGTGGACGCCATCTTGAGGACTTCAGCTGTTGGACAGGTGGCGGCTCTCACGGTGATCTACTATTTTAGGGTTGTCACTACGTCTTTGTGTGAGGTACTTAGGATAATATCTTCCTTGAGGAACACCAAAGCTTGAAGATGAGCTTATGACATAGGTATTTCTCTTTTGATGTTATTTGATTTGAAGTTATTTGATGAAGGTCCATTTTAACATAACGATCGTGTGGCTGGAGCATCATAACTGAAGTTCACGCTTAGAAAGAGAATTTTGCTTAAGCTAGAATCCTAGGAATTTTCAAGTTGTAGCAGTCTTTAACCCCCAAAGATTTTTATCCATCGTTTGTTTTTGTTTTTCTGTTTAATGTTTATCTCTTAAAAGATCGATCAATATATAGGGAAAGTTTATATATTAAGCTCGTAGTAAGAATTTGTCCATACACCAACTACCCTTAATTTTGTTTTTAATTAGCTCAGTGTTCATAATGACAGTAAAGTCCAGTTTAAGGAATAGCGAGAAACATCGGCCTTGATAAAAGGATATCATGACGGATGATAAGATTTTTTTTTTCTGTTATTAAAGACTTTGTCGATCATTTTTCACATTAACCTGTCTTCTCCATCCCTACCTATGTTGTGCTATTTCTTGTCAGTTATCTCCACGAATCTCCATTACATCTTTGTTGTTTCAGACTATTCGTCCATTTATTGGCCTTCCACGGAGTCTTTTACCTACTATTGACACATTTATTGTCGTTTAAAGATTTTCTCGTGGCCGAACCCTGCTGTCTGCACTCCATTCCCAACGTTTTCACCTCCTTTCCCCCAACTCTCCTACCTACTGGCCCACAGATCCCAACCGTAATCCTGATCTTCTTGATTTCTTTATCCACAGCGGCTTAAGTCCCCTCAATTGTTCCATTACACGTCTAAATGAACTTTCCTCTGACCATAGTCCTCTAATCTTTAATGTTTCACTTGAACCCGTTCCCAAACCTTCTCCGCCGTCATTCATTAGGGGCCCAGTAAACTGGAACCTTTTCCGTCAAATAATCTCCGATAATATTGATCTCAACATATCCCTCAAAACTCCCGATGACCTTGATAGTGCCGTAAATTCCTTTACTACCACAATCCAACAAGCCGCCTGGACTGCCTCCTTCCCAAAAGACTCCTCCAGAATTCATATAAAGACCATTCTAGCCCAACACCTCCTTAACCTAATCCACACCAAACGCCGTGCCATTATTATGGCAACGTACCCGACATCCTACCGACCGCTGCTCCTATAATTACTACTGCAAACAATTAAAACTGGAATTAGCCACCTTCAGATCACAATCCTTCAACTCCTACCTATCCTCCCTACATCACCAATCCCATTTTCCTTGCCCCCAAAAGCTATTCATCCTTCCGAAGTAAAATTTCAATTAAAAAAACTAATCCCCCGTAAAGCTCCTGGACATGATCTCCTTACACCTCAAATCCTTCGACAACTTCAATCCAAAGCAGTCATATTCCTTACATATATCTACAATTGTATCCTACGCACCACCCACTTCCCTCTGTTATGGAAACACTCCACTATTATCCTTTTTCCAAAACCAGCAAACCTCTCAATAGCTCAACATTCTATAGACCAATCAGCCTACTCCCAATCCTTTCAAAAATTTTTGAAAAGATCCTTCTGAAACGAATCCTACCCATCATAGAATCCCAAAATATGCCTTCCCATCAGTTTGGTTTTCGCTCTCAACATTCTACTGTTCAACAAGGACTCCGAGTTGTTGATCATATTTCCTCAGCCCTAGAAAACAAGGAATACTGTTCGGGTGCCTTTCTGGACATTGCACAGGCATTTGACCGGGTATGGCACTCCGGACTGCTCTCCAAGCTTAAAATCCATTTACCTCAGTCCTTGTACCTAGTCCTCCGATCCTACCTCTCTGACCGCTCCTTTCGAGTTCGCTGTGGAACAGAATTTTCCAATATCTACTCCGTTAAAGCCGGTGTTCCCCAAGGCAGCGTCTTGGGTCCCGTGCTTTACATCCTCTTTACTGCTGACATCCCTGTTCATCCCGATACTTTTCTTGCAACATTCGCTGACGACACCGCAATCTTATCATCCAACTCTGATCCCGAAATAGCATCCTTAAATCTCCAAAGTCACCTCACCTTGATTGAGCACTGGTGTAATAACTGGCGCATTAAAGTTAATGAATCTAAATGCCAACATATTACCTTTACACTCCGACGCAATTCCTGTCCACCAGTACTCTTTAATTCCATCCAGCTTCCTTACTCAGACACAGTCCGGTATCTTGGCTTTCATTTAGACCGAAGACTAACTTGGAACCCGCATACTAGACTCAAAAGACAAGAACTCAACCGACGATACGGCCAACTATACCGACTACTAAGCAGAAAATCTAAACTTTCCATTGAAAACAAGCTACTGATCTACAAGACAATACTGAAACCTATTTGGACTTACGGACTAGAACTGTGGGGATCAGCAAAATTTTCTAACATCAAGCGCATCCAATCCTTCCAGTCTAAAGTCCTTCGAACAATAGTCGATGCTCCTTTCTATGTATCCAACAAAACCCTACATCATGACCTTAACATCCCATTTGTCCTAGACCTTATCCCAGAAAAATTCTCCAAATTTCACCAGAACCTTACTTACCACCCAAATCCTCTTGCACAATCCCTATCAAGCATCTCCCATCCCTATAATCCTCCAAGAAGGTTGAAACGGCAGTGGCCTCGCGACCTTTTGTAGATTATATAAATTGGAGTTCTGGCAATGGCCAGATTCTTCACTCAAGACATGTGTGTATGTGGCTAAAGTGCTCTCGACCAATCTCCGCTGGCTTTAGTACCAGTGACGCGGTTGGGAGAGTAGCGCAGGGTTCTCCTGGAGTTCCCTCGCCTGATTGTATATAGGTATGCATGTGTTTTTTTTTTTTTTTCCTTAGTTTTAATTTTCTTATTTTTTAGGTTATTTTATTTTATTGTCTATTGTATATACTTTTGATTATTATTTTGTTCTATTTATTTTATTTTTTTTGTACATATGGTGTGAATGTCATCCTACCTCACTATAACCAATGTCCAACAGACAGATTGTTATAATACTCAATAAAGAAATTAAAAAAAAAAAAAAAAAAAAAAAAGATTTTCTGGTAGGTTGCTTGATTGATTGGAGCAACACGGATGGGAAGTTCACCTTAACCTTCTTGGCTTCATATCATAAGGTGTTGATTGATAAGACTAGTTTCAGTAAGGAGCTCTGTATTAGTCTTTTTCCTCTGTATTAGTCCTCTATGCGTTCGTACTCTGATACCAGATTGTTCCAGTTATCTTGCGAAGGATTTTTCAAATATATGTCATGTTTGAAGGAAAAAAAAAAAGGAATTAAATCTTGGTAATAGTTTATCGGTTGTTATTTTTACTGAAAATACAGGTACTCCGGGATAACACAACATCAAATCATATAATTGTTCACACAAATAGAGGTAAATCTCAACATTATTCTGCAACATATTTTTACTAAACTGTTGTGGAAAAAACTTTGTTAAATAAAAAAGTTTTTATTAAAGTGTATCAGTTAAGTTGTAGGATAATAAATAAAAAAACACTGAATATTATTATTTAAGAGAAAATACAACTTAGCGTATTTTAGCCACTCAAAAGTCTCCTTTAGATGGTTTGGAAAAAGACAAATGTTACTTGTGTTTAAAGGAATTTTAATATTTTCAATTTAAATATTTTTTGTGCTTTCGAAAGCGATGAAGGGAAAAACGTGATCACCTCAAGAAAATACAGAATTGGATATAATTCCTTTTTCTTCAGAATTGGCCCATGCACCAAAGGAACTTAATTGTTGCAAATTTTGTCAAGAATCATCTCTCAACTTTTGGATATTCAGAACTGAATTATATAAAAAAAAAAAAAAAATCAAAATAAATTCAGTTAGATTGAGTCTTGATTTCTCAGATCTAAAAATAGCTTATCAATTGGTAAATAGTGCTGTCTTTGTTTTCAGGTAAAACAGTTTAATAAGGCCAACTTTTTATCCGTCGGATTCATAATTAATATGAAATTTCCATTGTACTTAATACTTTAATTATTTATAAAGCAATTGTTATTTTTGTGATCCTAATTCAATATGTTAATCATGAGAAATGAAAAAGGTTTTTTCTTTTTTCCTTTGTTAATATCTTACCAGATAGCAACCTTATAAAAAAAAAGTAATCACAATTAAGTATTATTCTTTCAGATCCTTCATTGCAAGTGGTATCCATCCGTGGCTCGTAGGTAAGGCATGTTCATGTAATATATATAACGCGATAAAGTTATATGATTGGTAAAAAAAACAACTACATTCCTATGTTAGTAGTGATATAAATTGGAAGAGAAAAAGATCGCTCTTAGTGCTCAGAAAACCACATAGCAACTACCAACCTGTTCCAAGTAAATATTATTAACTGTTACCAAATTTCTTTTAAATATATTTCTTCCTAATGTCCTATATTATTACACTAATATTTATTAAAATAATAGCTGTTCGGATTTTCTTTACGTATTTAAATTTGCAGTTTAGTTATAGTATAATTAATAAAGTCGATTCTAAGCAAAAGAATAAATAACATAAAGTGTATTTTGTGTGATCTTAAGAAAATAAAATGACTAAGGTTGTAGTTGATTATGATGATTGAGTAGAACATTTGGTTATGTTTTGGAAGGAAAGTGGATTAGAAATACTTGCATTGAGCCCAAACATGAGTACTTAAATAAATAGTTGCCAAAAGTCATTATAAAATTTTATTTACTTTCTTTGAACGGCACAAACATATTTAATAAATTTCAATTAAATCCTGATAGTTAATTTCATTACTATTTTTTTGTTTCACTTGCCTATATATGATATATATATATTAAGGGAAAGTATTGCGATCGTGAATATTTTCGAATTTACGAATTTTCAACGGAAATACATATTTTGAGGTCCCCTGAGTCGAAATAACCAAGTCCCTCAAAATGTCCTGTGTATGTGACCAGTCCAGCTCAAAAACGAAAAGTCATATGAAATTTAAATTGTGTATTTAAGATTTGTTTAAGGCTCAGTGTATGTGACACCAACTTTTTCGTTAATCGGTTAACCGGAAATGCCACTTTACATCAACGTTGATACACATTTTTACTATTTTCTCGAAAACGGTTCTAACGGCCATTAACCTCGATATATAAGTGTATTATTAAGTAGTTTTTAATACCAGCTAGGTATTATTCACATTGATGTCACTTCACAGCGCTTAAATGCCCAACGTTCATATACGTTCTCCTTTAAAGTAATTTTAATTTGGTTTGTTTTTAAACAATAACTCTGTTATTGACATTAACTATAAAAAATGGCTAAATATAACTTTTGAAAGAATTTGATAATTGAATAATCCAGAAAAAATGCTTATCGAGATCGAAAATCCGGAAATAATAGTCAAAAGATATATATATATATAAAAGAGTGAACCAAAAAATATAAATAATAACTTCTGATAGCTTTGAATTTCAAGTTTGAAAAAAAAATTAAATCCACTGAATTTAGGCAATGACGTTGTTTAAAAAACTATTTCATTGTACTTGTTTGAAAGAAAAAGTGAAATATAAAAATATTTCATGTGTATGTATCTTTAAATACATTTACTGTTGTTTAATAACTCTAGATCAGATATTATACTTAAATAATTAGGTATATATCGTCTGTTTATTCCGAAAAATCATCATGTAAACTTTAAGAAAATTGAATTAGTGATTAGTTTAATGAGTTTTCCCTTTGTGATATCCCAACAGTATCCACTTACAATTATTTATTTATTTATTTGATTTTTTTTTTTTTTTTTTTTTTTTTTTTTTTTTTTTTTTTTTTTTTTTTTTTTTTTTTTTGTTGCCTCTACCCTGTAGGGTCATTGGCAACACCTTTGAATTAAACTCTGTTGTAGAATTTTATCATTTTTAAGAACTTTAAAGTTTTTTTAACGGCATTTTCATGGTCTTGTAGATTTTCTTTCAGACTCTGTGCCATGTCTAACTTTCTCCTTATAGGATCAAATGTAGGGCATTCTTGAATAATGTGTTTTACTGTCCTTTGGACATTGCAATTCTCGCAGGTCGGAGGATCAAGTCCTCTTAGTAGGTAGGAGTGCGAGAACTCACAATGTCCAATTCGCAGTCTGCAAAGTGCTGTCTCCTCTTTTCGAGATGGTCGGTGCGAGGTTTTCCATTTTAAACAGTGGGGTTTAATTTCTTTTAATTTCGATTCTCCTTGTTCCCACTTGTTTTGCCACATGTTCCACACATTCTCCTTAATTTTTATAACGTAATCCTCCAGAGGGATTTCATTAATTGATTCAACGGATGTTGTATTTGGCTTTCTTGCTATGTTGGCTGCTTGATCTGCTTGTTCATTACCGATGATCCCGCAATGCGAAGGGACCCAAATGAACACTACTTCTTTTCCCTTCTCCCTTAGTAGCCACCAAACGTTTCTTACATCTTTTGCGAGAGAGGTTTTGGGCCTGTTATGTTCAATAGCTAGTAATGAACTCATAGAGTCTGTCACCACTGCCCAATTGGTAGTTTCACTTGTCTCTATGTGTTTCACTTACAATTAGTGTGACAACTTTTGGCCTGTCTACGACAGGCATAGCAAATGTCGTAATTTCATATTAGTAAACTTTGAAATGAAAAAAAAAGTTTAATAATTAATGGAACAATCCATAATCAACGGATCGTACAATTCATAATCAACCGTCCATATAATAAATAGGATTTGTTTTTTTTTAAAGGTATTAATGATTTGTTAACTGTAAGCTTTAAGCTTTAGCTCGATTAAAAATGGACTTTTATAATAAATTTTATAATAGTCCAAAGTTGCTAGAAAATAATTAATATTCAAGCAGAGCGGCAAGTGAAAGTTGTGTGTTGCGCGCACCAGATTTTATTACCCATAAAGGGTTAATAAAAAACAAAAAATTGATAATTATAGAAAATTTTGAACTCGAAAAAGTACATTCTCCATTGTTACTTTATTGTAAAATAGTGTGAAGAAGTCTTTGTACAAACCAAATTTTTAGTAATTAATTTAAGGCAACTTTTAAGTATGGCATAGGAGAGCTGAAGGGTAATTTTCGGATAATTGTTTGTAACCAACAGTAAAACTGGCTTCTTAATGGTTCGTGGGTGTATCTAGATCTGATGTTTGAACGCTTGCGAATAGATGGAATACTGAATGCAAACCGGTACTATAGTGTTGTCATATACCATTCAATACCATCTGGGCTTAAGTTGATTGGACAGAACTTTATTCATTAGCAAGATAACGATCAAAAGTATGATATTTTTTTAAATAAAAGAAACATTAAACCGAAAACAATACGAAATTACGAAATATGGAAAAGCGATGAATTCCAATATTAAAACGTTTTTTACAGATATACTCGGCTTTCTAGATTTTATACAATAACTCTTGATATTAACAATAAGGAATAAAGAATGAAGTGGAAAAAAAAGTATGGCCTCTATTACTCAACTCACTGTTGGCAAAAACCTTTAGAAAAGCATGAAGAGTAGCCAGAAATTATTTTGACCGTTAGGGAAGAAGGAAAATTGATTGTAAATATTCAAGGATGAGAATTAATACAGTGTGAATCTTTAATGAGTAGGGAAAAAAATGAACCCTGAATTCAAAATATTCATGTATATGTAACCAAAATATAAAAAAACAATACTACGTTTTATCCCACGTTGCCGTTTTTTTTTTCTTATATTTGCAATTTAATTTATTCCATGATTTGAATGTTTTTTTTTTTTGTCCAATAAACAAAATTTGACACCAATAAAAAAAAAACAAGACTAATATAAAAAAAATATAATAATTTTTAATTTACAGCTTTATTTACATCTAAAATAAATTTTTTTTCTAATTTCATTTGACAAAATGTTAATTAATAATTGTTTGGAATAAATCCACGATCTGTACCTAAATATATAAATATATTTTACTTGACTAATAAACTATTGATTTTATTGATCCGTCAGAATTACAATAGTATTAGATAAGAAAATGCATTAATAAGAACAATATAAATAAACGAAAAGAATCTGTAAGGATTAATAAGTTATTAATATGCGGTAACAAACACAACAACTTGTAACCACTGAATACAAATAACTGCATGTCCAATACCAGCTGGTATTTACATATATACTTATTTTATTCCTTTTAAAAGTTACTAAAATACAGTTACAGACTATTCAATGTAGATAGCACCGATAGGTCGAAAGTCGTTAGACTACTTGTAAGAGTATAATGTTTTAATTTAACAGACAGAAAATTCATCACATTATTTTCTGATACTAATATTCATTTTATTTTCTAAAATGGTACTAAACGAGGTTTTGGAAAAAAATCAACAATGTATACCCAATTACTTATGTATATTATTATGTATCTAAAGTTATTAAACATCAGTAAATATATTTATGGTTACGAACACTCATCCATAAAATATTCCACTCTTTTCCTTAAGAAAAAAGAAAAAAAAATCCTTAAGTTAATTGTCATATATTCTTTCAAAGTTAAACCTTTTTTTCTATTACTGCTAACAATGAGAGCGAATGTGTAAAATCTATGATATCAAATTAGTCCGTAGAGACGATTTTAAGAAAAATCGTTGTTTAACATCCCAGGAATATATACGAGCCTTAAATACATAATTCTAGTTTCGTAGAGTTTTGGTTGATAGTTAACAGACACGCACACACCCGTGTACCGTGTACTTCGGTTGAAAACTCAGATTAGGAAGTTTAAAGATTACAATGCTTTTTCTTACCATATATTCCGTATATGGGAGAATAATAATAGCAAAATAATTTCTTTTCCTTTTTTTTTTGTTGTTATCATTCGAATTGATTTCAGATTCTTAAAAAATGGAAAACGGTACAAAAACCAATCAGGATCCAAAAATCAAAGAAGATATCGAGATACTGAGGACATGGCTACGAAAACAACCTCACATGCCTCAGGACATCGGTAAGTTCGTTTAAACGAATGTAGAAATAACTTTAGGAATTCTTCGAATGCATTATTATATGTTATGTATTTTATAAATTTTTATGATAAAATATCACACTTCGCTTTATTAATTTTTTTTTTTTAATTGGGCAATATTACAATCTGTCTCAAAGGACAATAGATTAATTAGTAGTCTTGATATATGTATCATTTGCTTTTAGTGTTGACCAAAAGAGTCTTGGTCTTGCACAAGGGTCTTGTAGTTAACTATTAGCTTATTGTTATAGTGATACTACTGTAATTTTTCAGAAAGGGAAAGCCTAGCTATACTCCAAATGAAAAATTGGCAGAGTTAAATGAAAAAGTAAATTGGTTCTACAAATTCTTTACATTTAGTAACTAAAATTGTTTAATATTAGTAACTATTTTGTCTTTTGATGTTTCAAATTTTAATAATTTAACTAAAAGAAAATTAATTTATATAAGTCCTACCTTTATTATGTGAGAAATATAGACAACATTTTATTTTAAAATTTTAACTAACTGAGTATAATTTGCTGATAATTATCCTCATTTTGAGTTTTAAAGGACTAATAGATATTAAAAAAAATCGTCTAAAAACGCTGTGTGTTAAATATCCTTCGGCTAAAAGTTCAGTAGCGTTATAATAATAATACAAAAAACGGCCTTTTCTCGAGATCAAGACATTTAAATTTCAGAAGTAGAATGCTTTATATTATTTTCTTGAATCTTACAATAAAATTGTCCTAATAACGAAGCCGTTAAAATATCCTCCATGTTTTATGTTACAGCTGGTTAATAAGATTATATTCTTCCGTTGCAGCAGTTATATTCTTCCCTTACAGCTGGTTAATAACTTTAAATTCTTAAAAAATCAACACTAAAAACAGTCTTATTTATTTATTTTTTAATAAACAAGTTAAAAATATAATTTTTATTTTCTACTACGCAGACACCTTAGGCAGTGGGTCGGAGGTCGGATCGCTCACTCAGTTCTCTCTCTAGGTACGCCTGTGTAAAATTCATATATGAAAAAATAAAAATAAATGTAATAGTAAGTGGCAAGCTTTTGGCCGACTGTCCAAGCTGAAAACAAATCTACCCCAGTCCTTGTATCTATCCTTCGCTACTACCTCTAAATCGCACCTTTCGAGTTCACTGTAGTACCTAATTTTCCATTTCCTACCTAGTTGAAGCCGCTTGTCCTCAAGGGAGCGTCTTGGGCCCCGTTCTTTACATCATTTTTAGCGTTGATATCTCTATCCATCCCCATACCTTCCTGACAACGTTTGCTGATGACACCGCCATCTTATCATTTAACTCAGATCCTGAAACTGCATCCTTAAATCTCCAAAGACACCTCTCATTGATTGAGAACTGGTGTTATAAATGGCGCATTAAAGTAAACGAATCCAAATGCAAACACATAACCTTCACACTCCGAAGCAGATCCTGTCCACCACTCTACTTTAATTCCATCCAGCTTTTTCAGACACAGTCCGATATCTTGGCTTTCTCTAAGACCGGAGACTAACATGGAACCCACATACTAGACTTAAAAGCCAAGAACTTGACAGACGATATGGCCAAATATACGTACTACTGAATAGAAAATGTCAACTTTCTGTTGACAACAAATTACTGATCTACAAGACAATACTGAAACTATTTGGAACTATAGACTTGAACTTTGGGAGACAGCTAAATTTCCTAACATCGAACGCATCCAATCCTTTCGGTCGAAAGTCCTCTGAACAATAGTCGAAGCTCCGTTCTATGTAACCAACAAAACCCTATATCATGATCTTAATATTCCATTTGACATATCCCGGCAAATTTTTCCAAATTCCATCAAAACTTTACAAATCATCCAAATCCCCTTGCACAATCTCTTTCTAGTTCCAATCATCCCTACAATCCTCCTCGAAGTTTGAAGCGTCAGTGGCCCAGAGATCTTTTGAAGTATATATCTCGGAGTTCTGGCAATGGCCAGATTCTGAAATCAAGACAGGAGTGTATGAGGGCTAAAGCGATCTCGTTCAATCACCACTGGCTTTAGCACCAGTGACGCGATTGAGAGAGTAGCGGGGATCTCTTGGAGTCCTGCTTTTCCATCTATAGCTGGAGGTACAAGCCTGGCTTGGATTCCCTGCCTGATCATATATGTATTGTGTATAAGCATGACTGTGTTTTTAATTTACTTTGCTTTAGGTTCTTTTATTTTTTAGTGTGCATTGTTTTCGGTTAGTATTTAGTTATTATTTTAGTTTTGTTAATTTTATGATTTCTCTGTAGATGTTGTGAATGTGTTAATATCTCACTACAATTATTGTCCACGTGACAGATTATTATATTTCTAAATAAATAAATAAAAAAAAGGAATGATAATTGAAAAAATATATGAATTTCATTTCATGGTGGAAGGAGCCTCGTCGTTTAGATATTTGAAGAAAAAAAAATACCGTTACTACAAATATTTTTTAAACTTTTTTTATTAGATATCGGAAATTTCATGTGACATTCGGAAATTTCATGTGTACTATAGAAATTAGATATAATAAAACATAATTTAATGTTTTTAGATGATGAATTATTAATGCCATTCATATGTGGAACAAAATCTATTGAAAAAGCCAAACGGAAGTTGGAATCATTTTGCACGTTGCATTCAAAGTACACTGACAACTTCAGTTTTCCATTTCGTGATCCTTTGGACCCTGTGTTTCAGGCCTCATACGAAATGGGGTAAGTTAATAACTACATGGATGTTGGTGGCAACTCAATCATGGCCAACAATGAGGAAGGTTAATTTATTTTTGCAAATCGCTGATTTGTATTTGTATGTACGCAATTTTTTGAAAAGGTACAATTGAAAAAAAAATAAAGAAAGAAAAGAAAAAAAAAATGATCATAGAGAACGATGCATTCTCAAGAATGCAGTAGTGTAAGTATCGAGCTGTAAGCCATAATTCATAAACAGTGAACAAATAAAGTTTTTTTTTAGTTATTTGAAAAAAAAATATGGAAAACAAGAAGCTTATAAAAATAAATTACTTCGTTTTCTTCCATTTTGGAGGAAGGGGCTTCAGTCGGAAAGGTCCCTCTTCCTCGTAGATCAGCCAGTATTCCGTATTGTTAGGGATCAAGATACTTTTTTCCAAGTTGTGATACCGTCAAAACAAATCAGCGTTTTGTAAAAATTTATACAAACTTATGAAAGAAGGATAAATTTTAAATTTAAATTAGTAAGATTTTGCCTTTTACAGAAAGATGTTCATGCTTCCCAAAACAACCCCAGAGGGCTACAGAGTTTTCTTTGCCATATGTGATGATTTTGACAAGTACGACGGCTTCCAGAGCAATGTGATAATGTCGATGGTACTGGAGGTCGAGATGATGATGCATCCTGACTCACCTGGTATCATTCTAGCTTTCGACTGTCGAGGAGTCGACGTTAGGATTATGACGAAGATGGGTTTGTCTCCAATGACCTTCTTCTTAGAGTACCTTCAAGTATGTAAAGCATTATAAATTGTTTTGCAATTAAATGACTTGCTACCATTTCATCAAAAACGCATGCGTGCTTTGTTTTTCTTTAAAATGTAAAACAACAAATTTAGTTACGTACCCGACATAAGAGTAACTGTTCCGCCAAACTATAGGAAACCTCTATGAGGGTATAAATGGAAACACCAGAGCTTGCGTTTAGCGTTATAGTCTCGACCAATGACGAAATATTCTCAAATTCTTTGTTGGTAATGATACATAATGACTCTTCGGTTATAACGCTTTTCTAACCCAGCCGTTAGTGAATTTGATTGCATTCACTGACGGTGTGTCCATGTCACTTTGTAAAGTCACGCAACTATACCCAAGTACTCCTTTAGTAAGTCTGAATGAAATGTTCATAGCCTATTTAACCGTTGATTCTTAACTTTAAAATACTAAAACCACAATGAAATCATATATCACAATCAATCATCACTTAACTAGGACTGTTGTTGTTGTTAAAAATAACACAGGCCAATTATATTTGAATTTCTCTAGGCATTAAATTATTTAATTGAAAAAGAAATCGATGATTGTAAAAGAATTAAGTTTATTATTTGAATATTTATATACAAGCTCAAATTATATACAGATACAGAAATTGCGTATTTAAGATTTTTATATGTCTGGGATGTTACAAGTTTTCCAAAACAATCGGCTTACCGAAGGTGTCAATTTATATCATCGATTTTACAATGTTCTCAAAAACAAATCTAATGATTTTTATAAAATATATTTTATATTTTATCAGTGTAAAATTGAGAGATTTTTAATACAATGTAGGTCTAATTCTCACAGATGTTCTCTAACGTGGTTTAAATGCCCAATTTTCAAAATTTCTTACTCTTAACTACCTTTAGTTTTTTCTTTTTCTTTATTTGAATCAATTAACCATTTCATAATGTAACCTGCTATAAAAAATTATTAAATATAAAATATGAAACAATGCGATAACTAATTAAAGGACAAACAAGGGAACGTAATAGGGAACCGAAGAAACCCGAACGCTCACCCGGGTTTGGCCGAAAGCTTAACTTCCATATCGACTTCCATACATAATACGTATTTAATTTAATATAATCACTATTATAAATGTCCTTAATTGTGACAAATTGTAATATTTCTCAATAAATACGTTTAAAAAAAATAATATAATAAGGGCTCCAATAATATTTTATTCATATACATGTGCGATTTTCATAAATGATAATGTTGGTATTATTTAATATTAATATCGAATGCTTGAACAAATTGAAATACCTACAATGAAATATAAATAAATATCGCGGCCTTCTTTTTTCCAGTGGCACTCTTATCGGACTAAAAATATTTCGTTGTATTTAATTATTTATTATAATCAAATAAATAATTAACATATACAATCGTAAAAGTAAGTAGTCAGAGACGAAGAAAACATAGACAAGGAGAGATTAATAAAATAAAATGTAAATTATAAATAATAGCTCATTATAAAGAGGACGAAATGGTAAAAATTTCCCTTGCTTATAGTATGCAGATCCGATTTTTAGTTTCTGAAATATTTTAATCCATACATAAAAACGTTTTAATTAGCCGACTTTACCCGAGCGTTAACAACGAGTTAGATCTGACAGATCGATCTAATTCACCATCCACAAAAAAGTTGCAAAACTCGCCTATAGAAGTTTTCACTTCAAAAATACATTAGACATATGTGAAAAATTCGCTAATAAATTGTTTAATATATTTTGTATCTTCTCTAATTTTTACTTTCATTTCCCCTTGTATGAAAATACCTATTTCTGCTAAAACACAATGGTAAGTGAAAGTTGTGTAATGCGCCCAACACACCAGATTTTATTTTTAAATTACGAAGGGATGAGAATCTACTTTCGGAATACTTCGATTGTTTAGAAATTTCATCTACAACTGAAAATTAATATAAATGCCATCTTGGATGTTAAAGCCATTTGGGACCACAGGGCTTAGTAAAGTTGTTAAAATTCCGTTGAAAGTTTTATTTGATCACTTTAAATGTCCAATATTTAATCTAATAATGATTTATAGGCCCCTCAACTTTTGTTGATATGCTAACTTTATTTTGATATTTATATATAATATTGATTTGAACTGATATTTCGCATATTGGTATATAATAATTCATTAAATTGGTCATGGTCTTGATGTTTCTTCATTAATCTTTTTTTAAATATGATATTATATCTCTGATTGTATTTTGAAATTTTCGGCCCTGATGATGACCCACATGTTTGGGTTGAAACGTCGGCACAAATAACACAATTTTATAATGACTGCGTCCTCAATATTTATCATCCATGATATGTAAAACAGTCGGCTAGCTACCTTCACTCATTTTTTCACTTCTTACCCCCAGACAAATTTAACAAATTATAGTTTATATTAAAGATAACACTACAAATTGCGAGCGTTTCTTTGTAAAATTAGTCCTAAGAACAAGAAGATTGAAAAATCAAAACAAATTTATTAAAGTAAAAATAAATATGTAAAAGGAAATATATATCCGTCTGATTTATGAAAAAATATATATTTTTTTCTTGTGTGTTTATAGAACTCTATACCCATGAAGATGAAGAGAATGCTCATCTATAATACACCTCCAATCTTTGGTGCTTTCGTCAATACTTTTGTAAAGCCATATGCAAAGAAGAAACTATTCGACAGGGTAAGAATATTATAAATTGGTCCTTTTTAATTTAAATTATGTCCAACTTATACATTTTAAAAGATTTTTCTTTTGCAAGATAATTTTCACGACAAAAGGAGATGAAGCGCTGAAAGAATATTTTCCCGTTGACATTTTGCCTTGCGACATCGATCCATGTGGCAAGGCACCTCCAACCAGAGCAATAGAAGGTAACATTCTTCCCAAGTACATTAAGCAATATAATCTATAACATAAATCGAATAGTGTTTTATATGTATTATAATGAGTTTTTACAATCTTTCACGAAATTATTATTAATTGTATTTATATAAATTGTTGATAATTCAAACATGTTTACAGATGACTGGAAAAGGCTTATACTAAGCAGAAGAGATTACTTCAAAAATTCTCCAGCTTTAGCGACAGACGAAACGAAGCGACTTCCAGATTCTTCACACGCATACGGCGTGGATGGAACATTCAGAATGTTGTCCGTTGACTGAAAAATACTTTTAAGAAGCATACTCGATGGATAATTCAAGTTACCTTTCACGTTTCTTGTGAATTCATAATAATTAAGTATCGATTAACAATATTTGAAGGGAGTTGATCTCTTATTAAATGTATTTTAATATCTATATTATTTATTGATTCCTGCTTTTTAATTTCATTAGGCATTATTTCATAAAAGTTCTAGTTATTTCAATGACATGGTCCCAAAGGGATCTTGATTAAAACATTTATTATATTATTTTTGCTTTGTTTTATCTGTAATATATTTAATATTTTATGTATTACTTATTTTATTTCACCTTATCTCCTTTTAATAAACTTGCATTTCTTTTGATCTTGAGTTTCAGCATAAAGAACGAAACAAATTTATATATCAATCAAATATTTATAGTGCATATTAACGTATTCCTTAATTTGAGAGTAGCGTTACAGCGTTATTTTTCATGATGTATTGTCCAAAAACCAGTTACAAGATATCAAATATATTGTATTGCGTTGATGCAGGGTACTTTTAATACTTTTAATAAAATAATTATTTAAAAGTTGTAAAAAATTTTGATCAGAATTCATTAAAATTATTAGAATTATTGTAAATTAAAGAAGATGTAAAATGAAATAGTGTCCTTGTTTTTTTATAAAAAAAAGTTTTATAGGATCAAGTTTTGATAAAATGAAGATAAAGAGGAGTAAATTTGTGGATTTTCGGAAGAAAAGGGAAAAGAAAACAAAGCGAGGTATTGATGAAAGGACCAAAGATTGAAGGTGTATTATATATGACCATTTTGTGGGCGGGGTGGCCGAATCGGCTAAAGCATGTGCATTGCACCGCCATTGCCCGGAAACCTGACATATGAATCAAAGATATAAAAATAGTCACGAGTTCGCGTCTCGGTGCCGAGGGAGTCTTTTAAATCCCCGCCCAAACCCCCTGGCCCGGGAAAATCCCGTATAGCCTTAGAAGGGAAGGACCCCCCCCTTAATATTTTTTTAAGTATTTTAATAATGTTTTAAAATTTGTAATTAAGGACTGTGAGATTAAAAAGGGTTTTATAAAAAAATAATCTTATATAGATTAAATATAATAATTACAAATTTAGCTAAAGTGGTTAGAATATAATAAAATAATTCATTGTTGTAGGTTAAATAAGTGAACTTAGTTGTTGTGGAAGTTTATGAAACAAAGTTTTCTCCGGGTGTTGATTTATACGATATATTTTTGGCGGTTTGTTATGGGAACGGAAGCAGTAAGGTCTGAAAGGAGCAAGCGTCTATGAGACAACCGATATCAAAAACGGAATATCTGTCATTTCTAAATCGCTGAGAAAAGCCAAAAGAAAAAAATTTTGAAGGTTCAACTCAAACTGTTTTAGATGATTTTATTTGATGATTGTACTTGAACATTCATTAATCAGAAACAGTTTGAGTTGAACATATAAAACGAAATTTGACTTTTTCTGTTTTTACTGAAAACGACAGATATCTGTTATTCAAATGAGACTACTCATATGTTTTTAAAACAATCCAAATTTGTGATAAAATACTGAAATTACAACCATATTGGATCTAATTAAAATATTAATGGTCAGTTGTAATACTTCATACATTTACAATTTACGAGTAATATGAGATACAGTCACATACATTGTTATTTATGAGCAGGTGTACCATTCCCGAGATTCCCACAACAAAAATAAATTAAAAAAATAAAATAATAATAATAATGAATTTCTTTATTGAAAGATTTTACTAATGCCTTTTGGCATATATTGCAAATGTGATCACCATTCGTGAACTTCCTTTGCAGGATTAACATGAATGCTTGATTTGAGAAACCTTCCAGCGAATGCAGCCATAACGTGAAATGTAGCAGATCCCTGCTCCAGAGGCATTTAAGTCTCCTTGTTAGATTCTGTGGTAGTGTGTCTGTTAGTAATGTCTGTAAAAGAGGATTAGGATGTCCAATAAATGAGTCGTGAAAATGTTTGTAAAATTTCTTAATTCCGTCAGTCACATGTAGTATTTTTATGTCTTTATGAAGCGATTTATTGATTACGTAAAAGAGTGGATATTTAGATTGGAAGATTTGAATAGTATATAAGTGTGTTTTTTTTTTTTTGCATGAACCCTACACCTGAGCGGCATATGTTCATAATGGTCTGAGTAGCATGTTGTATATAACAATTTTGTAACACAGTGATACTTTTTTAGATTTGTTTTTATGGTGTAGCATTTGTATTAGTAGTGACAGTCGATGGCACAATCTCTTTTTCAGTATAGTCACATGCGATTCCCAGGTCAGTCGTCTGTTCATTGTGAGTCCCAAATATTCTGTCTCTGTATGATTTCGCAAAGGTATGTTGTAATGTGTCAATGGAGGTGAGTTCGAACTTCTAAGTGTAAATTTAACCTGATTTGATTTATGTAAGTTAATTTTATCAAGGCAGTCTTGTAGTAGATTAAAATGAATCTGTACTTTTTGAAATGCTGCAATCGGATTAGAATCCGTCGAGAGTATGACACTATCGTCTGCGTATGTTGCTAGTAATGTTTCTGGCGTCTGTGGAGGGTCAGAAGTAAAAAAAAAAAAAAAGAAGTAAATAAATAATAAATTAGTTGATGTGTTATCCAAATACTCAAACCGCTACGGAGTGGGTTCAATTACCACAGGGGATTCGAAATATCCTCATTCAGAGATTTACTGAGAGGTGATTTATTCCTGTATCTTACACAGTGGCACCTGTTCCCACAGGTTAGGGGCATAGATAGGGAGGGATAGTTGATAGAGATGATAACCCTATTCCATAAAAAATGTTATTGCAAAACACCTCATGCGTTATGAGATATTAACGTGTTGAGAATTATGATTTCTAACTCATTGATTTGTGTCCGTTGACTTCTATGTCTTCATGTTCAAATCTATTATTATTTGATGGGTAGTCATTTTGCATTAAAATTTTTTTTTTAGTTCTTTTCCTTTCATTTGATGAGCTTTATGCCAAAGGGATGCAAGATAAACGGTTCTGATTGAAGAACTACCCTGAGGAAGAGTAGCTAGACAGGTGGCCCAGGAAGACAAATACCCTCTTTCCAGAGACTACGGGGGTCATCAATCTGCCCTGTCTTTACGGATGGGCAATTTCCAGTCGTGCGACGGCGGTTGGTGGTAGGGTACTACTTCAAGGAGTAGTACTGTTTTATCCATTGTGCGGGAGCTGACACATGAATTTTTCCGCATACCAAAAGTGCTTATAATCTGTTTAATTTTCTATCTTTTTATTCATTATGTCTTCCTTATGTTTCTTTTGATACTTCTTTTCTAGGGCCGGAGTAGTTCAATGAGTATGAAATTGCTCTCATTAGCTCAAATTACAATTAGCGACTTTTCGTAGTAAACCTTCGAAATACCTGCAATTTTAAAACAGTTTTATTAATTAGCTATTAAAATTAAATTTGGTATCGCTATAAAGGCTGGCTGTCAAAATTTGAAGTTACTTTTTATTTTAGTTTTTACCATCTAGTTATTTATTACGAAAATATGTATAAAAATATGTCCGGTGCCAATCTTTTACTTTTTTAAAAATTTATTTTCATTTAAAGTATATTTATTTATTTTATTTTATTTATCTTTCTTTTTGTTGTTATACCTACCAACTAAAAAGTTTAAAAATAGCATTATTTAGTTGATCGGGCGCTGATGACCCGAATGTTCAAAAACAAACATTCAAACAGCAAAACAACCAACCAACCTACGATATACATTACTATGGCTTGTGGTAGTTAAAAACTGAGCTGTACTTCTATTAATGTTCTCGAAGAGGACGGAACTACGGCCTATGGACGTACAGTTTCTTATCGACAGAGGAGACATCCTCTAAGTGTATTCATGGACCACCCATTGCCCTTGGCAGCTGTGACATTGACATACGAGCACCACCTCCGCTGTCAATACGTTACCGGCATCGATCACATGTATTTGTTAAACGTCCTATCTCTCGTCCCTAGCCTACCTCTCTGGCAGCCTTAACAAACAGTCTCAAAGAATTGGCTGTGCCTTCAAGGACAAAATGATGCCAAGGCACTTATATTGAAAAAAAATAATTGATGGAAAAATTATGCACGTGTATTTAATATGCATTTAACCATCGGACGATGAAACGATGTTCTGCCGAATAATTAATCAAGGACCTTCATACACCAGGAATATGTTATTACCTCTGAACATTTAATAATTCATTTTTCAATTTTTATTTATAAGGGACACACTTAATGTTCTAGATTTTAATAATTGCATTTTCATGAAAATAATTGAAGTAATCAGCAGGCATCTTTAATTTAAAAGTAAACTTTAGGCCTAGAAACATTAAGTTTGTCACTTATAAATAAGGAACAATTCTTATGAAAAAAAAAATCTGCGAGGAAAATACAGTTTCATTGCTAGCTTACATGAAAAATATTTAAAAAATCATTATTTTAATTCTTTTTTTAGTAATATAAAGTATATTTAGGGGATTATGTTTATTATAATACATACCAGATCAGGGAAAAATAAGAACTAAAAGAGTTAGAACAATTTATTGTTGTCATTTTCGTTGAAAACTTAAATCATTTTTTAAAATAATGTAAGGCGAATCTCGAGTTTTTACCTAATAAACCTAATCTTAATTAAAACTTACTTAAAGCTTGTCAAACGAGGAAGTTTTTCTAAAAGTGGGATATCTGTAGTATACTTAAAGGATAAAAAGTAGGGTATAGGATGGATGAAAAAAAAAATCACGAATATTTTATGATTTTTTTAAAAACGGAACTTAGCTTAGTTTAGCTGCTCAAAAGTCATCTTTAAAAGGCATTAACAATGACAGATTATATTTTCAATTTAACCGAATTTAGTCTAGTTAACAGTGAAGCACTTGTTATAATTGTTTAATTTTTTTTTTTCAAATCTTTTTTGACGAGTATTACAATCTGTCACAATCTCAATTTTAAATTTATTAACATACATAACTTATACATAATACTTACAAATTTATATTTGATTTTATTTTTCTCTTTGATCATTTATATCATCCTGTCACTTTCATCCATCTATTTTTCATTGTCCAAAGTTCTGAGAAACAAAATAATATATTTTTGTTTTGTCATAGAACTGAAATTAATGTGATACTGATTATAAATTTATATAAATATTTTTATAATTTGACTGCATGTAACTCTATGTCTGTAGGTCAAGAAGGTCGTTAGAACACGCATACTTTGTGCTTTTTTTTTATGTTATAAGTGTGCA